TTGTAGAGATAAAAAGGGTTCCCCCCCAATTTTTTTTTTTTGTTTTTTTCATGTAGTTTGAGGGCAATTTGGTCCTCACTCCAAGCATTTTTCCACATTGTGTTAGATGATTGATATGGAAATAGAGTCCGTCCGAGGCCATTTTGATAGTCAAGGAATGATGAACAAAGTGCATTTACATTCTGGGAATTCTTCTTGCCAGAAAATCGGGATTACACACCTTCATCTAAAGGCCAAGAAGTGCAAATACTACATTATTTTTATTGGGCCAGCCAGCATTCGTTCACCACCCCATGGAGCATTATCATAGAGCATAATCAAAACTTGGGGTCCGATTCATATTTCAAAGTGGGAGGCACAAAGTGATTCACGTTCGCTGCCGCGACGTTTAAATCAAGCGGCTTATTGGGAGGCAAACCCAGCTTTATGCTTTATTTTTTTTTTATTTATTTTGGATTGTATTATTTTTGTAGTGTCAATTTTTTATTTTTCTAGGAGCATGGAAAGCAAAGGTATTGGAAGGATGCATCAGCAAACCAAATGGTTGGAACTAAGTGTGAGGTTACCCACACGAAGACCAAGCTGGGAGAAGATCTGAGTAACCCCTGAGCTGCTAGCTTGCTTCGGCCTTTGGCCAACCAGGGAGTTCTTTTTACCTTTTTGTATGTTATGGATGTGCATTGGGGACAATGCACAATTTTTTTAAGTGTGGGGTGAGGAGATTGTCTAGTGGTGATTTTTTCATGCTACTTTTAGCTTGTGTTTTGCCTTTTTAAAAAATCGACTTTTTCCTGATGACATCTTCTAGACAGTTTTCTGAGGGAAGTCAAGTCTAAAGAAAAATACCAAAAAGATTTTTATTTTGTTATTGTAGTGTAATAATTACCCCTTGTTTTTCTTTTAAAAACACGAATTCTTTTTCAAGAGTTTTATTTGAACCGGGTTGTATTGTTAGTTAGTATTTTTTTTGGAATAGGAGCCATTGTGTTTTGTTTTGAAAGAAGCAATATTCTTCCTGAACTTTGTTATGCCTGAGAATATGAGTACTTTGGTTGTGACGCTAGGCTCGGATTTTTGACTCTTGTAGAAGTACCTTAAATTGTAGATTTTAACTTTGCTTACTGCTTTGACTAGAGTTGTCTTGATGAAAACCAATCCTGAGTGAGTTATTGTGCATGTGTGGTAAGGTTTTGCGTTATTCAGTGCATGCATTTGATGCCTAGAAACTTGCCCTTGTGTTGTTTGCCAAAAACAAATAGTGGTTTTATTTCAGTCTCTAAGAAGTGATATAGGCAAATTTTTTTTGTTGAGCCAGGATATTGTATATTTTTACCCGCCTAATTATTATGTTATCGTAGTTAACCCCTTTGAGCCTGAATCCGTGCTTTCTTGCAACCACATTACAAGCCTTACCTATTTGTTGGAAATTAACCATCTATTTTGTAACCATTGTAACCTCTCATGAGCACTTTGAATTTATTTATGAACTTTGTAAAAGTTAAAGTGTGCGTCTGGTTGTTGGATTTTGAGTGAACTAATGAAATAAGGAGAAAGGTGCACTGTTTTGAAAAAGGAAGAAGAGCCACTTGAATTGAAAAAAAAATATAGTTGATTCTTGTGAAAAAAAAATTCCTTGATAAGTGGTGGCTCTTGATGTAAGTTCTTAAAAGAAGTAATGGGTGTAATTATAAGTTGATGTTTGAAGGTGGAGTTTTGGTTGAATAAGTATGGGGTTGAATGTTTAAAGTATCATGTATTAAAGTGCTTTAGAGAAGGTTGTAGTTCACTCTTATATCTAAATGTATCCTACCCGTCCCGTAGGCCTGCATTACAACCAAATAACAGTCTTAAATTGATCCAAGATTGAATGAGCTCGCATTAGTTGAGTAGTACACTATTGGGCAAGCTTATCGTCCATCTTTTGTGGCATATGAATGTTATTTCTGAGAGTGAGTGAATCTTTCATCTTGAGTTCCTAAGTGTTCTTAAATTTATTGTGTGGAACTACTCTCTCTTTTTGTGTGAGGGTACTTGATTCATGAGGAAAGTAAATCAGTTGACCTCTAATATTAGAGATAAGTGGGTGTGAGTTGTAATAACGGTTGGTTACTGTGAGTCAAATTTTGAGGTGAAAGATGTTACGCTTTTGCTGCTTAGTCTATTTTAAATACTCTTGTGTTGATGAGTTAGGAGAATTGTTTATAAAAGGCAGTGTCTATTAAAAAAGTGTAGTTTTGCATTGCTCAAGGACGAGCAATGTTTAAGTGTGCGGGTGTGATGGATAGGGCTATAAATTGCATATTTAGTCCGCTTATTACACTCTAATTTACTTGCACTTTAATGAGTTTGCCACTTTATCGCTAGTTTTTGCACTATTGTTTGTATTATGCCTTGTAGGTGTGAATTCGCGACTATATAGATGTTATGGAATGAAATTTTAAATTGATTTGAAGCTATTGAAAGTAAAAGCTCAAGGAATTAAGCCGGATCGTGTTCGGGGGTCAAATTTGATAATTAAGTACGGAACGAAGACTTGAGGAGGCATATTGCGCACTGTCTAGTAAAATTAGGACATAACTTTTTTCTCAAGAACCCCCACTTTTTTTCCAAATTTGGGGCTCCAGAGATATATGGTTGGCAAGCTAACTCAAAGGGCTTACAACTTTATGTTTTACAGTTTTACCAAATTTCAAAACGGAACAGGGTGAAAAACCGCGGTTCCACCGCGACCGCGGCAGGAAACCGCGGTGAAAAGATGGTCGCGGACAACTGAAGAATCAGAGGCAATGTTTGCGCCGGTTCCACCGCGACCCGGTAAAATTCGCGGCAGGAGGCGGAAATTCAGGGGATTATGGTGCAATACACGGGATTTTAAGCCCTATAAACCCTATATTAAACAAGGAAGCCGGCCAAGAAAGGGGGAGGAATATATTTTGACACAAATTAGAACCTAAGGAGCGGAAGCACTACTTGAGGGTTATGACAACAACCCTTGGAGGCAAGAACACATTAGCAACAAGCGAGAATCTTTCTACGAGTTTTTCCTCCTCTTCACTATTTTTCATTGTGGTTATGGACTTTTTAGTATTGTAGTTTTACATACTATTATGAATAGCTAATTTTGTTATCTAGAGTTTTGATAGAACCTTTTGTACGATAAATTCTTGTTATGTTTTTATATAATTGAGCCATAGCTTTTCTCTATTTGTTCAACTACGTTTATATTGTGGTTGGTTGAAGAGCTCTCAATTAGCTGTGCCTATTTAGTATGCATAACTCGGGAGAGAGTGCATATATAGGTAATTGTTGAACAACACCACTCCCAAAGTATATGAGGGATCAATAACCGAGGGTTTAAAGGCGGGATTAGGGATAACGAAGCCTTGGGTGCGATCTGAAGTGAGCTGTATTAAAAGCCAGCTAGCGTAGCTCGGGAGAGTGCCTATAGTAAATTGTCGTAATTACTCGGGAGAGATTTACGGTAATAAGAGTGCTCATGATCGGTAGAGAATACTTAGGCGAAATTATAGAAGACATGGCGGGAAGGATTCCGAAAATTGGGGAAATCATAACTCTAGACCTCCTTAATCTTTTCTCTAACCCTCAGTATCGTTAGTTGTTAATTTACTATTTTAATTTGTTAGTTAATTAGTTAAATAAAAGAATCTTAATATCTATAAGTTATGAATTGTTCAAGCTTGTCTTCTTGGTGATAGTAAACTGCTGTAGCTAAACCTTAGTTCTCTGTGGGATTCGACTCCGGACTTGTAAACCGGATTATATTTGCAACGACCGCATTGTCCTTTTTATAAGGCATAGTTGGGCGTAATCAGTAATAATCGATTAAAATACGTAATTATAGCCTATCATGAGTACGCAGACCTTACTCCTACCCCGATATCAGATTTTTCTTTTATGCACACAAGAGAATGGATACCTACATTCAACTTGAAGTTTATGGACTTTGTACTATCGTTTAAATCTTCCGGAAGTTCTCAATTAGATGGACATGTAGATTTGTTTTCCTGCTGAAACAAGTTAAAAAGGCTCAATTCTTGATTTGTCTGCAGGAAACAAGCAATTTCAAAAACCCGATACATGATTTCTAAGCCATATTCTTCTATGAGAAAGTTAAACTTAACTTCTCCCTCAAGCCAAATTCTTTGGGACTTGAGCAATATTTCGTGTTGAAACAAACAAGTGTTTTGACAGAAATATTTACCTTGTGCTGGATCTGAGTTGCACTTGTTATTCAAGTCTATCAGCTTCGATCGGTTCGATTTGGTGTTGTCTCTCGATGATCAATGAATCACAATTTAAAAGAAATGGACTCTTTAACTGTTAAACATTCGGAAAGGTAAAGGCCAGCTATCTATAATTAACAAATTGATAAAGAATATCCTGACATTCTGGATCCTCCATAGGATACAATATAATTAATTAAAAGAAATATGAATACAAACTGTTTCCCAAGACCGATACCAGCTGGTTTTTTATCTAAACTTCCTTGTCAAATGTTTAAAGATGCTAGATAGAAGAGCATAACAACTCAAGAAACAACAAAAGAGAGTTCTGAGCCATGCGCTTAGTGCACCGGGCTGCCTTTTTTTTTTTTTTTTTTAAATTTATAAATGGTGATTAAATTGTAAAATTAGTTCTTGCACCTTGCTTTCTCTTGGTACTGTTTGAGAACGTAACAAATCCAGAATCACAGTATCTTCTGATAGAGGGAAATTGCAGAAAAACAAAGCGAACACTTTACGAGTTGTGAAGTATATCAAACTCATATGTCACATGAACACAAGAGAAACAAATACCTACATTCAGCATGATGTTTATAGACATTGTACTATAGTTTACATTTTTTGGAAAGTCTTTTTTTCTACCAGAAAAAGCTAAACTCAACTTTTCCCTCTAACACTAAATGCAAAAATGAAAAACTTCTAATTGATGGCCTCCTTAACACTTAACTTATTTTAGATGGGAAGCGAATATTATCGGCAACCAAAACTTCCATATCATCATACAGGTTAGATGGATCATGTTCAGGAGTTGAAATGGTTGAATTTTGAGTGTCCAATAGACTTCTTGTTGTTCTTTGTTGTTGATCAAATATCATCTTTAGCTGTTTTCCTTGTTCTTCAATCCTCAACTGTAACTTTCGCTGAATCTAGTTTAATAGAAGATGTCCTGATTCAGTTCTTTTGGCTCTAGAAAAGTATCATGACTCAAAGGTGTAATAAAAACTAAAGTACCTCTAGTTGCTCGTGAAGACGCCTCTGGACTTCGAGTTGCATTTGCAGTGCTTCCTTGATTTGCATTCCCCTGCAACAAATGTTTTGATCAGATTTAGTTTCTAGCTAAGTTTATCAGGAAAATTAAATGAGATAGTAGCGATGAAAAATATACGTTTTGCTGTCGATCTGTGACACATTATTCGGGCAGTTTCTCTTCTCAGATTTTCCTGCAACATAGAAGGAGAAAACTCTGATCAGTCTGCATATAATTGAGCATGCCAAAAGAGAGATGCAAACTTCAAGCTAACATTGATAAAATTTCCATTTTTCAATATAGATTTTCTGATCACACTAAAATGAATTTTAAGAAAAAGAAGTCCATCTTAGTATCCTTTTTTTACAAGTTTGATCCACTTATTCCAACAATTACAGAAAAGAATACTTTTAAAATTAGTGCAGAAAATGCTTTTATGTTGTTTCCTTATTATATACCTTCTCACTGTAAGATTAGTATATTGAAAATTCTCTACTTTCCCTTTACTATTCTTCTTTTTAAATATGCATAAGCCATAAATGTGATTCCTAACCATTATAAGCCATAATTGTGACCAAGAGGTCACGGGTTCGAGCCGTGAAAACAGTCTCTTGCAAAAATGCAGAGTAAGACTGCGAACAATAGAGCCTTATAGTCCGGCCCTTCTCCGGACGCCGCGCATAGCGAGAGCTTAGTGTACCGGGCTGCCCTTTATAAAGCCCTGATCCCTTGGATATGTCTAAAATCAAGAAAATGTCTAGAGAAAAACCAAGATGTCTAAAATCAAGAAAATATATTTTCTCAACCATGAAAACTTAAAAAAGTCAAATAGACATACCATCTGTAGGTTCAGGGATGTACTTTGCATTTCGATATTTCTGCAAACAAAATAGATATGACAACAGAAAATATTCCCTCAAAACTCAATACAACACTACTGAAAACACAACCAAATGGAAGTTCTTTCATATGTATAAATATATACCTGCAAATGGCTTTTGACATGGAAAATAGTCAAGCCATCTGACTCCATCAGCTTTAGTATTGCCTTTGGTGTTGCCTCTGATAAGATGAATGAATCAAATTCTTAGCTAAAATGGTCAGGATCAAACTGAAAATAGAAAGTCCTCTTTGAAATTACTTACTGTCAGCGCCTCCTAGGCGGTTTACACACTCAACAAATCGATCGTGGAGATCTTGAGTCCATCTGATTCTTGTTTTGTTGCACACAGATCCTCCAGAACATGCAGAATTATTAGAATTAGCCGAAGGAAATCCTGATTCTTGCCTCATATAGTCCAAGTGACTACCACATAAATTATGAGGGAGCTGTAAAAACATAGCGAAAAAACTCAAAATGGTGTCAATTTTAAGTCTTTTAAGCAGCAGTAGCTTCTTCATATGAAGCAAAGAACCAAAAAACACTACAACAAGAAGCTGCTACATGTTTTAAGTACTAACACTGAAATCTTGATTTCCATCAAAAGGCGTGTCGAATTCACCAAGCAATTTTCTCTTAAGATGCAATATTCTCTCTTTTTCTGTTAGACTGCTGAACGGACTTCTATAAGGTACTTGATGATCAGGACTAAAGGGTTGACTGGTCGAGAACTGTGATCTGATAAATGGCGGCAGGGAAATCTTGGGATGAAAATCTTCTGCTGGTGAATCAGGCAAGAAACCATATGATGGTATTTGAAAATCATAATTCTTGGACAATTGAGAACAATTATCTTGTTGATCATCATACTGTGTTAATCCCAGGTAACGTTCCGTGGCAAAGAAGGCTGAAGATGGCGAACCAATACGACCGATGATAGTACTATTCGACGATGAATTAGCACTAGGAAAAAACTGCTGCTGCTGCTGCTGTTGGCATACATCTTCTGCAGAAGTTGCTGGTGGAAGACTAAATCCCATGTATGATGAAGACTGTTTTTGTGCATGTAAAGCCTGAACCGGCATTCTGGCGAATTCTAAAGTATAATCACTGGGATATGCTGAGTTTTTTGGCACTCTTTCTTGAGTACCAATCCTTTGGATACTCATATCCTAAACTATTCAGAGAAGCTACAACTTTATTTCTAGGAAAAGTGGACTTGTTCTATCTGTTGAGTTTTGCACACTAAGTTACAGCAACAAACAGTATTTGAAATTGAAAATTTCTTGTACTGATGAATTCCTCGAGACTCTGAGCTGTGACAAAAATTAAATAAAAAGAACTCGCGGCACAAAGAAAGCAAGGATCAAGAATCAGATAGAAATGGAAATGCAACACTGTTTAAATATTACAAGGACTGAGAAGACTTATAAACAAGATATAGAAATATGAATATGTCATAACAACTTAAAAAAATTTCTATTTTTTAAAATTTATTCTTTCATATGGTTAAGGGATGAAGAATCGTTTTGACAAAACCAAAGCCAACACATTTACTATTAGAATAAAACAAATGTCTCCTAGGTGAAAGATTTACTATAACTGGATTTTGTCTCTTATATTAGGTTTTAGAGCAACTCCACCTGTCTTAATGAAAAAGAGAAAAAGATACAGAATATAAGTAAAAAAAAGAGAGGAATATATTGCATATCAAACAATGATTCTTTAAAGTTCCTCTTCACATTAAGCTGATAAAAGGAGAATATAGTCTATGGGGGCATCTCTACACTTTAACATTTCTTGTTGAATACTGGCATATATTCACTGAGCTATCATGCCTAATTATTCTTATTATGGATGAGGATTGATAATTTGAAATCCTATTAGTCAGCACATACTGACACTAGGAGTAGATTTTCCATTACAAATTGCATCAAGCAAAGTTGATTTTAACCACAAAGACGAATTTAGGGTAGATTTAGTAGGTTCATCTTAACTCGTTACTTTCAGGTTGAACAATATATACATATACATGTACAAGTAAGCAATTAAAATGATACACATATTAATACCACACTCATTTTGTACCCTCTAATTTTAGATCATGGATTTGCCTCTGCTTACAATAGAGATCAACAAAAACATTTTCTATGTGAGAATTGGCTAAGAATTGAACATTCAGGATAGACTTCGAGCTAAATCAAATAATCATGAAGTAATTAAGACCAAGAATATAATTGTTACATTAGAAATATTAATTGACAATGACATAATGAGCTTTCAGAGCTATTAAATAGGTTATAATCACATTGTTTTTCTAATAGCTTAAAGAGGTAGTTGTAGGCTATTTATTTTACCAATTTTAAGCAGGGTTTTCCATTTTGTGCTTTGTTCCTATTCTGCCGTTCATTTAATTTAAATAATATCCAAGTGGAAATATCAAATAGATACATATATAACTACTACCTTAAGCCAGTATTATAGTTGATCATTCAAATGATTATTGAGCAAAGACATAAAAACACACATCACCGAAATAGAGTATGATTCTTTAATCATTCCTCTTTTTCTTTATTTTTTTCATCTGACTAGGAGACAAGTCCACTTCATTATTATATTGTGCCAGTTGCTATAGTGGTTCATGCCCCAAAACTTTATGGTCGTCGACTCGTCGTTGATTTATATATTACTGAACCTTTTTTATTTTATTTGGCATATTTCTTTTTAGTATGTTGTGATGCCCATGATGGAGGGAGATCAACGAGGGCGGGTCAAGCAGGATTGACCAGCTTCTAGGCTTGCAAGTTTTTCAAAAAAGGTGCAAATATCATCTTAGGTGAATTTCACATCGAATGAGAGAGGAATGCAAAGAGCTTTATAAGGCACAACACAATTTCACAGGGGCACAATTTTTGAGCTCGATGATACCATAGCTTAAGGGACAAATCCGTGAGATCTATTGGCCCAAAGTAGAGGATGTTACATGGACTTGGGTCGTGATAATTATGGTATCATAGCCCGACTCTCCCTCAGTATGGGGCAAATCTCATGGAACGGAGGGCGGCCAACGAGGACAAGTCAAGCAGGACTGGCAATAGGCTAACATGCTTCTGAAGAAGGAGTGCACATGTATCCATCGCAATTGCGATGGCACCAGTACCAGCACACACAATTCTTTGATGTGATTGCCTGGGTCTGTCTGTATGCAAACTTTGTCATCATCAAAAAGGGGTAATTTGTTGAGTATTGAAGTTTTGATGATTAAAACGTGTGACTAACTGCTCAAAGAACTAGGTCTTCAATGTAACTGCTTAACTTTTGTGAAGAATTAGCTCCCCAGGTTAAAGGATCAGCTCCTGGGTCAGATGCGGAAATGCCTGGGTCAGAATATATTAATTCCTCCTTCGCGATTTTTAGAGGGTTTCTTCATTTTGAACGGGAAAAGAGCTTTGAGGCGACTTTTGAAGAGAGGAAATCATTCTTCTTCATTGAAGTAAGTATTGTGGACCCTAAAACTTGATTATTTATGATTAAGGAACGAAAATATCAGTGTAAATTCACGAAAATCAGTAGAAAAAGGTGGAATTAGGGCTTGAGATTATGAGACCTTTCAGGGATGATTTGAGGGGTCAAACGAACTCCGATTTTCGAGTTCTTTATATGTACGGATTTTGATTGATTTCGGGTTTTGTGCTTAAATTCGATATTTTTCAACTGGAATTCATTCGTTTAGCATAATATAATGATAAAAATCTGAACTTGGTAGATTTGTAGCACTCGGAAGTCGTTTCGAAGGGCAAAGGCATTGCAAGCTAGATTCGGGCCGGATTGAGGTGAGTAATGATTTTAAAGCTGTCCTGAGGGTATGAAACCCCGGAATTTCACAGCGTACGGCTATGTTGAGGTGACTTACACGCTAGATGACGAGCATGGGGTAGAGCACTGCTGGGGATTGTGACTTAGTCCATCCCGAATGATTATTTCACTGCGTATTTGATAGTTAATTGTTTAATATTATTATATTTTGGGCTAAATGCCATATGTGGGCTTTGTGCCAGCTGTTTGAACCTTAGATGATTTTTAAATGATATTTTCCTCACTGATTGATTTCATACTGGTGCTCAGTCATACTATATTTTACTATTTTAAAGACTCAGCCGTATTATTCTGTTTTAAACACAATAAATGATATTTTCAAAGGTATTTGAGCTGAGCTTCATTTTTTACTGTGGCCCGAGGGGCTTATGAGATTCTGACTGAGTAAGGCCGAGGGCCTGTATTGTGAGAATACTTTTGGGTCGGGCTGCACGCCGCAGCAATGATACACTGATTATGATAATGAGGCTGAGGGTCTGAGATTTGTACGCCACAAGGTGGCTTGAGATATGATACTGAGGCCGAGGGCCTGAGATTTGTACGCCACGAGGTGGCTTGAGATTTGATATGAGGTCGAGAGCCTGTTTATGATGCCACGAGATGGCTTGATATTGCGCTTGGGCCGTAAGGGGCCCCTCCAGGAGTCTGTACACCCCCAGTGAGCGCGGGTACCCAGTGTGATGATTCTGTTTATTATGTGAGGCCGAGGGCTGGATTGGTTATGCCACGAGATGGCTTGTTATTGCGCTTGGTCCGTAAGGGGCCCCTCTCGGAGTCTGTACACCCCCAGTGAGCGCGGACACCCATTATGATATAGATATAGCCCGAGGGGCTGATATTGTTCTGTGATATTGCCCGAGGGGCTGATTCTGTTGTTACTGTGCCCGAGAGGCAGATATTATATGTTTACTTATTAGTTGTTTTCCTGTATATTGTTTAACTGTTTAAGAGAGGTTTATGAGATTTCACTGCTTAATTATATTTACTGATTTGTTATGCCTCTTGTAGCTTAATGTTGTGCCTTACGTGGCTTTATATTACTCAGTCTTCATTTATTTTTATTACTCACTGAGTTGAAAGTACTCACTTTACTCCCTGCACCTTGTGTGCAGATTCAGGTATTTCTGAACCCGATAGCGGGTATTGGTTGCTCAGAGGCAGAGTCATCGGAGTTTAGTAAGGTAGCTGTCTGACGTTCGCAGCACTGCTTTTCTCCCCCTCGATTTCATTAGACTGTACCTAGTACATTTTAGACTCTTGTTGTATTCGGACCTTAGTAGATGCTCATGACTAGTGACATCCCGATGTCGGGCTGTGTTGGTTTTTATTTCCGCAAATTATACTGTTAAATGCTCATTTTTGGATTTTTTTTTTCTGATTAAAGACTTAGTAGTTATTGTTTTTGTTGTTTAAAGTGAATTGGAGGTGTGTCGGCTGGCCTTGTCTTCACGAGAGGCACCATCACGACCGGGTTGGGATTTAGGGCCGTGACAATAATTGATACTTATACATATGTACAAGACAGTAACTTTATGTCAAAGTTACCCAGGTCCGAGTTTGGTGGAGATGGATGCTATACGTGATAAGGGTCGTTGCTCAAGAAGATTTGGATAATTTAGTCAGAGACAAAAGTCCAAAGCGTGTGGAATTCTTGGAACGTAGGAGTCTTATCAAAGAGGAATCTGACCTTGAATAGGACTCCTAGAAGATCTCAAGTCGTGTTTAAATAGGATTGACTTTGGATTTCCAAACTATCATTTTACACAACAACTAAAGTGATGTAAGCTATTTTTTTCTCGTGTTGAGCACCTGCCTTTTGGATTCTTCCTAGTCGGTCTAGTGAATGTGTTTTAGGAAATTGAGTTGTAATCAAACGTTATTAACACTTAGTGATTTGGAGTGAGCAATTTGCTTTACACGTTAGAGTAACTTGTAACCAAATAGGAGTAGTAGGAGTACTAGAGAGTATTGAATTACAGTCTTGTAATTGTTATATTTTGGCTCATTGTTCTAGTGGAGCTGGAGTTGAAAATCCTACGTGGTAGGTTGTGATTTTTACACGTTTTGAGCCGGGTGATTTTCTACGTAAAATCGCAGTGTTCATTTTATTTCTTATTAACTTTACACTTAAGAAACACGATAAAGAATCAAGTTCTTAGCAATCCATACGGGCATTCAAACTAACATATTGCTACTCCTTAGCTGTTAGTGAACCAGATTTGTATAGATCATGACAAAAAAAGAATCATCAAACTTTTTTCAACAGAATATATATATATATATATATATATATATATATATATATATAAAAAAAACAAGAAAAAGCCCTCGTTTTCGTTTATATATAGCTGTTGCCGAGATCCTATTTATATATAGCTTTTGGTAGTGGCGTAGCTACACTATATCAAGGGTGAACAAGGAACACCCTTTTGCCAATTAATTATATTGTGCATATATGTCAAGTATTATTTTATATGGTTATATATTTTATATTTATAACTCTTAACACAATTGAGCGAGATAATACAACAGTCCATGCTGTTCAAAGTAGGGGTGTACAAACGAACCGGAAAACCGCACCAAGTTGAAAAGTCAAACTAAACCGATTAAAAAACCCGATTAGGCTTGGTTTGATTTGGTATGGTATAGAGTAAAAAAACCCGAACCAAACCGACATAGAAATATATAATTTTTATATATACTATCAAGACTTTTTATAGAATTTTCAAAAAAAAAAAAGTCTAGAAATATTTGCGATTCTCTTATGGGATGTAATATTTAGTTAAA